ATATATATATATATATATATATATATATATTTTATCGTGTACCTTCAGGAAGAAAATGGTCTTATTACATTTAAAACAAATGGAAAGATACTTGCTTGTACGAAAGTTTCGACTAATGCTTAATGTAGGAATAGAACGGACAAAAGAGCAGCTTTTTTGAAAAAATCTTAGTACATATTCAGTTACTGTTTTTTTGCGGTTGCAATCTTAAAACGGGGCTCAAAATAGGTAAAGATGGCTTAAAAAATCCTTCAACATACAGAAGAAAGTGAGCTCTTTTATTTCCAGCCACAATTGCATCGAATAAATTTAAAAAAAACTGGTCAAAATTCTCAATTTCCCCCTCTATCGCATGCAAGTTGCTGGTGCCGGATCCATTTTCTGCAGCGGCAGCAGTAGATAGTTCTAAACGGGTAGCAAGGCTTGGCCGCAGACTGTGGAGGTATTCATTTTAGAAAGCGTATAAATATATATTACAGATAAACTTACTACTGAGTGGAACGAAGGGATCATCAGCGGCTGCAAAGCAGAGAAGTGGCACTTTTATGGTGTCCAGTTTGAGAGCCGGAGACGCCTGATTGTAGTACTCTTCCACGGAGGAGAAGCCAAACATGCCCTTGGTGAAGTGTTCGTCGAACTCACGGAGAGATCGGCTCTAAATGATAAGTTACAAATATCTCAATGAATGTCTAGTACAACAATTAAGAAATGAAAAAAAGCGAGTTGAGGTGTGCTTCAACGGTACTGGTAGAGGAGAAGGCTTTTCGATCACCGGAATCGAATATTTTATTCGTCTGAGCTTTCGGGCTCCTACTGGAGTTCATCGTCAGAGATAAAAGCGTCAACGAAAAAACAAGCAACAGTTATAGGGGGCAGGGGCGAATCAACCCCGAGTGCCTTAAGTCCGGAGATGTCTGCGCAGGGCGATGTATGCCGGCGCTAGATCGATAAATCGATTTACTGGGTTCTCATCCGAGGCCCAGGCTTCAATTAATTCTCGGCCTGCCTTGTTGCTAGCGTGGGCAGCCACTTATGACAATGCGTCACCCCGTCTGACAACCAGCTTATGTTCGTGTATCCGCGAACCAAGCATGTGTCCAGTCTGTCCTGTGCAATTCCAGGGACGGTTTAGACATGCCATGCGACACACTACACCCGACTGTTCACTGGGATTTAATTGGTCCTTGATTCGCATGACCCGGCTGCGCATGGTAGTCTTAGGACCGTGTGCAATTGCGACGCCTAGTCCCGCAGTAATGCGCTCGGTCGCTTCCGACACATTCTTGATGTATGGCAGCGCAGGCAATATCGTACGGGTTGGTTCTGATTGGGTCTTCGGTCCAGTAAGAGCCCGAAGGATCTGACGAATAAACTTATAATTCCGATGATCAAAACGCCTTCTCCTTCTCTATCTAACCGCATACCTGGGATACGAACATTCGCCCTAAACGGTAGTTTTCGCAGAGGAGGGAATTCTTGTAATCCAAAACTCAAGAGCATTATTTTGCTCTTCTAGACAAAATATGTACAGCTGTCCAAGAAAGACTGGTTAAAGCGTGCCTTGCCGGACAGTTGTGTGAAGCAGTTTGAGCCCTCCGTGCTGGCGACCAAGAAGCACGGCCCAGTTCCTGTCCAGGCACGCATGCTGCCGCGCCAAGGACGCAAGACACGGTGCCATGGTCGCATGCCATCACACAAAGGACGCGCGCAGGTGGCGTGGACATGAACCAATCACAAACGCCACTCCCTTCCCCACCACCTGTTTACTCGTAGCTAGACTACAAAAGCATGCCCACGCTTGCTGCTTTCTCATTTTCTTTGAGGATGGCGTCTTGAGTGAAGCCGAAAGCTTAGAATAATACAATTGTAGTTTCTGTAATAATTTCCATAATTCGTGCCACATTAGTTGAAGGATTGTGCCGGATGGAAGCCACCGTTTGACGGCAGGACATAGCTAACAAGTGTGAATGTGACTGCTGAGACTGTTGATTTTCCCGAAAGTCTACTTAATTGTCTGAATTTACTTTTAAACGAATTGAAGCGAATGTCCGCATTCCGGGTGTGTGTATAAAAGAAGGCTCATCGTTCGTCGAAATTACGGCGAGTTCAGTAGAAGGCAACAGTCAGTGGAGATGACCAACTGTGAAGGTGATGAAAAGACGTAAGTGGGAGGGTGGGAGTCGGGTAGAGAGATTGATGTAGCAGACCTGGACAGTTCGAGCAATTCTCTCCGCCAGCGTCGGTATTCGGTCTCCAGCAGTAGTGAAGAGGATGACTCGAGCTGTTTAGGTCTACTGCCACGGATCGTCGCGCATGGGGGAGCACCGTACGGGACATCACGTAGACCAGTCATGATCGCAGCCGCAATAAGTACAAGAGGCAGATATCGCAAAAATCACTATCTCTGCACGACCCTGCTATGGAGCACACGGTCTAATGAGGATTTAGAGAACAACTTCCTCAAGACACACGCCCACACACAGCTTGCGCATTAGGCTCCGGTTCCCGAAAATAGGAAGCAAACTTCGCCAAAGTCTACACAAAAATTCAGTCTAGGCAGTGCATGCTACACGATGCAGGGACAGCGGCTCAAAATTAGTCCGCAAAAGTTAAAGAGAGATTGAACAAGCGCAGACATAGGAGTTGGTTGGAAACCGTAGGGACGCCGCGAGGGTAAAGGAACGCTCGACGAACCCCCAACCCCGCCAGAGGGTCATTTACTTGGCTACAATACTTTTTTGTTTCATACACGACAACCAAGCGTTGCGGGGACGTAGTTAACGCAATGTGATGTTCGAAAAGACTGTACTCTGTCGTCCATTTTATTCAACTACGCCATTAACCGGATTTCGGGAAGGCTCTATGTGAAGAGGGCGGTGTTGAGCTTGTAACCGGTTGTCACGACGGTTCGCGTGAAGCGTGCATCCGTTTGGTCTGTCCTTTTCTATGGCTGTGAATGCTGGCCTATGCGCACGGATGGTAAAAGGAAGCAGGAGGTATGCGACCACTACTACTTGAGGGCCATCCTTCGAGTACACCGATGTCGTTGCAAACGAGACAGTCCGCACTCGCTGCGACAACATCATAAGGATTCTTCCAGACCATCCAAGAAAGACAACTGAG